AGTTTACCCTTCAATACTCCCAAATATTATTCACTCAGATCTCGGAAGGGGGCACTTTACCTTCTTTGTTACCACCTGTGGTATCGGATCAGTTCCATTTGACTGATTTTCATTTAAGCAGAGCACCATATTGGGATATTCTAAGCTAGAAGGGTGGGGGTTCTGGAGATTGCCAGGGCAGGAGGTCTTGTGGGATGTTTATGGTGGGTTAGACCAGAAGCCTTTCTTTATGCAATTCTTTTAGTAGTATGACTGTAGATCTTAGCCTCTGATCGACGGAAGATCAGAAGTCTCATCTTAATGTAGCCTAACCTGATTAAAGCTTGTTCTGGATAATTGGGTGCAACTTTCATAGGATAATCAGTAAACCTGATCAGAAGGATAATTTTGATTTTTGGTTCTTAAGTAGTATTGAACTACAGATCTTGTGATTGTGACCTGGGAGCACTACCACTGTGCTATTGATCCACAGGTCAATTTAGTTAGTTTTTTATTTTTAATAATATATATAAATATATATATATAATAAAATAAAAAAGCTATCACGATCAATTTTATAATACAAAGATTTGTCCAAAGACTTTATTAATATACTGTATATAATTTTTTTTTAAAAATTATCAAAGTTGAAATTTATAATAAAATTATTATAAATAAACTTAAATTTTTGAAAGAAACCATATAATCAATTATAAACTTTTATAAATTAACTATTATATTATTACATATAAGTACTTTAAGTTAAATTTATGAGAATTATTATTAATAGTTTATTATTATTAATTAATCTAAAAATTAATAAATTATCAAATTTAAAACAAAGAAAAAAAATAAATAAAAAAGAAAAAAATTCATGATCTATTAAAAAAATCTAAAAACAGATTATTATTTTTTAAAAAAATTGATTAATTATAATTTATTAAAATTATTATTAATAGTTTATCACTATTAATTGATTTAAAAATCAATGAATTGTTAAAAAGAAAAAAACAATGATGTAAACAATTTAAGGTCTATTAAAAAAGTCTATAAATAAAACCTATACTTCTTAAAAAGAATCTTTCTGATTACAAAAATCTTCTTACTTTATTTAAATTTTAAATGAAAATTTTTTTGTTATTATATATATTAATTGAATACTAAATTGAAATATTTTAGCAAAAAGATTTAAACTTTAACTTTTTTTTTTTATTTTTTTTTAAATAGGCTCATGCCTAATCTTTATTAAGTTCCAAATTATATTTTATACAGTTGTACAATGTGCATGTACAGGGGTATATATTCAAGGGTAAATAAAGAATTTGATAGATAAAGTTATTTCGAGGCTGATTGCCCTCTTTTTACAAAGAAACCTACATCTTATTGAGCATATGGATATTATTAAAATAAAAGAAAAATAAAAAGAAAGGACCAGTTATGTACTGTTATGATAAGGTAGCTGTGATGTTTCTTAGCATATGTCTATCTTGTTTTGAATTTCCCTTTTAATAAAGGACTAGTGAAGCTTCTCCTGAATCTTTACAGAAATAAGGTAGGGATAAAAAGGAAGACTTTACAGTTTTAAGACTTGTGGGGAGGAAGTAACCAAGAAGGTCCAGATGGTATATTGGTGTCTACATGAATGACTTGAAAGTCTCCCAATATATCTTCAATTAAACTCATTCCTATTTGAATATGGGTATACTTATCCATCTATGCAATATATTTCAGATTTAATTCCTTATAGAAGGACTGTACCTAGCCTTGTGGTTGGTGTAACCTGCTAGTAGCCATTGGTATTAGTAATCATCAAGGATTTTCCAGATTATCTGACCAGTTCACACATCACTGCTGATATTTTCAGACTCAAGTTTCGATTGACGTATCAGTGTTAACCTTCCAGTCTTTCAACTTGAGATTTTTTGGAGATAGGATGAAAACTTCTTGATATAATATATGTACTAGCTTTACTATTGAATGTTTTTAATCATCTTCTTTACTTTTTTGAATTGGACTTTTCTGAGCAGTAGAAACAGAAATCTATTTGATATACAATTAGGAGTAGGTGACTCTGATTTTTAAAAGGAAACAATTGGCATCTTATGACCTTTATTATGGTTGAACAGTTTCTTTCTTGTATCTGATAATGTATTGAAGACTTATCCTATATCCATTCACATCAGACTATATGACTTATGGTGGATTCCAAGTTCTTATGGATCTGAGGAAATATATTCAGATATATGAGGTGGCCAATGAAAGCTTGTTTATTAATCTTGTCTAATGTATTTCGTGTCAACCAATTAGAGTTGGTGAGATCTGTACTATCTAAAATTTCAGAGTCAAGCTAGAGTAGGTAAAATTTCTCAGAAAGTCATAAAAATGATAATTTTAAGAGGCCATAACATCAGTCAAAGGATGGAAAAGTGAGTTCTTTGACTAGTTAATAACCTTTATTATCTCTACCATAGCTGAAAGGTGAGAGATATTTCACTGTTGATCCTTTTCCCTTTAGAAACTTTCTTGCCATTGATAGTAAAGGTGGAAGCTGAACTTTGTAGGCCACAAGAGTTCAGTTTGTTCAAAGAAGATTGTAAACAATAGAAAGAAGAGTTGGGGGAGTTCTAAAGGAACTCCTTGAGTTAGTTTAAGAAAAGTAGTAAGACTCTATTAGTATAAAAGTATTGAAACTTCTTGCAAATATCTTTTTTATGTGTGGTCAGAGGATCAACAGAAAGAGTTGATTTATAAACTTTAATTTTTATTTATTAAAGCTTTATTATTATCTAAGAAACTTAAGTAAGAGATAATGTCTACAATCTATATTATTTATTACTTGTTATTTTGATATTATAGATTTTTTTATTAAGGAGCTTTGATTTTTAAAGAGAAATATTTTCAGTACATTCTTTTTAATTATCAATAATATTATTAAAACATGTAAATGTAACTAATAAGAGCTTGTTTACATTTTAAAAACTATATTATTTAATTACCTTTAATAAGTATTTATACTATATTGATTTAAAGTCAAATTAAGATAAACAAAATACTCTTAAAAATAACAAATATAGAAGCTTTAATAGGGTAAAAATAATTCAAAATGGAGAAAATAAGTTTTTTAATTATAACAATATCTCTATAAATCTCTTGCTTTAAAGATTAGAAAGATCTTCAATATTTTATAATCAGATTTTTTTTTAAAAACTTTTATACCATTGGTATCAAAGATGTCACTTTTTTTAGTTACTAGAAATTAAGTTTTTAAGTGTAGAGATTTATAAATAATAAGAAAAGGATAGAGATGATTTTTGAAGTTATATTTCAAGTTATTTTTAGAAAATATTATGCCTTTATTAGTAAGAAAGTATAGAAACTTTTTTGCAAATCTCTTTTTTGTGTATAATTAAAAATCATTAGAAAGAGTTTTTTAAAATATATATTTTTGAAATATGAGATTCATAGAGATTTTTCTATAATAAAAAAACTTATTTTTTCTTTTTAATTATCTAAACTTTTTAAAGTTTCTATTTTTACAATTTTCTGAAAAATTTTGTTTGCTTTAATTTCACCCTAAATTTTAAATAGTATAAATTTTTATCAAAAATAATTAGTTAATTAAAACACATAAGTTTTTTAAATATAAACAAGCTTCATTATTATACTTATATATTATAATATTATTATTAATAATTAAAAAAAATGTTTTAAAAATATTTATCCATAAATAATGATAAATTTCTATATATTTATTATTATTTAGAGCAAAAATTATAGCTATTCTTATAGCAATTTTAGTTCTACCTGCATAGTATAGTCAAGTTGCAATAATAAATCTTAATCGTATCTTTATATAAGATGTATATAATTTAAGATATAAATAGAAAACCTTCAATATCCTTATAACTATTAAAGAATTTTACTTATATAATATGATTTTTAAAACCTATACAGATAATAAATATAATAACATAGTAATCGACTTGATAACAATAAACTTGAATTATTAAAGAATGATACCAGCAACTAGAATAATAGAGATTTTCTACTTATACTTTCAGTTCAAAAATTATAGTACAGTATAACTACATGATATTTATGTGTGTATTTTCGCGTCCTTTTTATATTTTCGAATTGAATTTTTTTTTTGGAACAAACTGAGACGAAATCAGAATTTGACAGCAAGTCGTATAGTGTTATAATTATCATTGTATGTCGAGAATCATGATAAAGGAGCAAATGTTTGTGTTTTCTTCGCCGCCACGTCGTTAGTCCGAAAATTTTCCTTCTAGTTCATCAAATTTCCTACTCGTTCGCATATTTGACACTATCTCCCTACTGCCGACTTTCGTTTGCGAATGTGTAGTGAACCTTTCGCAACTGCATTCCCGCAACGTGTGACGTATGATGATTCTGATAAGAATACGTCTGCGCACTCTCCGTAACGTATGAAAGTATCGACTATAGTGCATTCTTCGAGGTACGGGCAGCGCACACATTCTAATTAGTGTTTATTTCTTCATCGATTTTGTTTATTTGTTTCGCACAATACTGGCAAGAATAATAATAATATCAATTGAATCATATGCATCGAGTATTTAGACCAGATACAGTACGTACAGTATTACGCACGGGAATGATCTGTTTAATCTATTTAATGGTTAATGTTTCTAATCATTGCAATATCTTCTGAGCTATTGGTTTTTTAGAGTCATAAAGAATTCGGTTTTACTGCCGTATTTTCAATACGCATATATTCATAATAACATTTGACGCGTTGACGCAGTAGTTTAAGGTAAACATACCGTATAATTTATTTAGTAATACAATAGATATCATATACAGTATAATATGTAAAGAAAAAATTCTCTTCCTCCGGAAAACATTTGCCTAACTTCTGTCATGATGAAAGATTTCACGTGCAACTATCATTTACGCTATACTACGTACATTTTTTTGACATCAATATTTAAATCGTTATGATCAATTTTATGAAGTTAATCAAAATTAAATTTGCGTACTCAATTAAATATTTTATTCCAGAATTTAGTTGCTAGTGATACGTAGCGTTTTTCCTTGTGTATTATCATAGCACTTTGGCCACGTTCCGCTTCAATTTTTATTCTTCTCAAAGTTTGACCGTTGAGTGGTAATTCATACAATTCTTGCTCGATTAAATGTATTTCTCTTAGAGAAATTTGAGCCACGGAACGATCATTGGTTTCAATTGCTTTTTTGATGATTGCAATCTTTTCCGAGTATTCCCTCTTTAAGTCTTCAAGTCCGCTAAGAATTCTATCGTCATAAATAGAAGGGTCGCTATTTTTCTTGATTTTCTCTTCCTTTATAAAATGATCCAAGTAATCGGAATATGTATCATTGTAAGCAGCGATTGCGTTTTGTCTTAAAAACTGGGCGAGCTTGATGTTGATATCATTTATTTTTTTCTGTTCGTTTTTCTGCCGGTTTATGTATTTTTCTTTATCATCTATTATCGCTTTCTTTAGATCTTGATACGACCTCTTTTCTTTGATTTGCTTTTCTACATTTGAATCAATAACCTTTTTGATTATATGCTCATTCTCGTAGGTAACATGCATATGATTGCTCCAATGACAGGAACACTCCTTGCAATTTTCACCATTCATGGCAGAGCATTTCCTCAAGGCAGCATTATTTACCACATTAGGTTCAACATTTCTTAAATAACATCTCGTGTGGCAGTGTGTTATGTAATCTACCTTTTTTATAGTACCCTCAACAGTGATGGTTTTTGTGCAGCGCTCGCTAGTGCATACGGTTCTAGGATTATCCAGATTTTTTGGATTGAGGTCTAAAAGTGTGGTATAAAGTCTTTTTCTTAGATCTTCTATGGATTGGCTAGAGTTTTCGATTTCCTTTTGTTGATCTCTGATTATACTAATATTTACTTGGATCAACTGACCAATTTCCGCGAGTGGTTTGGAAAGAATCATCACGTTCTTTCTGACATTGTTAAGCGATAAAGTTTCTTCCGTTCTATGAGGTTGAAGTGATGTAATATGCTTGAAGAGTCTCCAAGATTCTTGTACTGATTTTTTCCAGCTCTCAGAAAAATTTTTAATATCATCTTCCGAAAATTTCATATTTTCCCGTAGAGCCGCTAAAAATCTAAACGATTCATTGTCAAAACAATACATTGTATTTTTATCTGTTTTTATCTCAATGTTGGATCTATCCTTTAGATTACTGAGTTGTTCTCTAAGTGTCGGTAATGTATCTCCCGGACGATAAAATGGTGATCTAGCATTTGTGAAGCAGAAAACAATATTGTCCTTGGCGCCTTTGTGAAGGTGTGTTAATAATTCTTGTACACAATACTTAAACACCACGTTTAATCGCGCATTATTGGGCTTAAGGAGAATGCAGATCCCATTTAGGTGTTCGTAATGACCATTGTATCTTAGAATGTTTCCAAAATTTTCCGCATCTTTTTCGATTCCTCTGGTGTCACCAATTCCGGGAGTATCGATTAATCTTACGGATTTATCATTGTCAACGGGAAATACATAGCTATTACAACCTTGTGTGGCCGACATTCCTTTTTTCTCTGTTTGTTCGTTTAGATCATTGTCGCCAATCTTTACTTGATTAGACTCAAAGTTTTCATCCATTATTGTGAACTGCGACGGAATTAAGACCGCCATATCTCCATATCGCGCATCATCTAGAGTATCATATCTCAGATAGTTTGCAAAGGCGTTTATAAATGTGGATTTTCCTACACCCGTTTCGCCGAGCAATAATACATTTATCTCGGTTGTCGCATTTACTGTGCTGGAATTGTTTCTTAATCCATATTCGGTTGCTCCACGGACAACTGCACAAGTCGGTTGAGATGGAACCGAGATATGCTTAACGATATTTTCAAAATGATCTCTAATTCTTGACTGCAAATATCTTGACTCGCTAAACTCTCCAATTAAAAATATTACCGAGCAACTTACGGAGCTATTTGTTTGACGTATCAATTCAACGATTCTGTCAATAAGAGGGTCAAAAAATGACCTCACGGTTTTGTAATCTAATTCAATCACCCATTCTTCACGCTCCATTTCATGTCTAACTGAATCTAGTAATATCTCTAGATTAATACGAATGGATAAAAAATTTAGGTCAAATGTTTATTATTTACCTGAAACGTAATTTCTTATAATGGGACAAGTTTCTTCTAAATCAAGTTCATATGAGAATGATGTATCTTCTCCAGTAAAAGGAATTTGAATGCGGTCATAAAATCTTTCAATCATATATTGATATTGACTATAATGTCTACATTTAAGTGATTCAACTGCGCCAGCTCCAACTTTGCTTTCAATGAATTTTAAGAATTGTTGCTCGACAAATAATCCAAATAATTCTCCACAGGATTCACCAAATCTTAATATAATCTCACCAAACCTCTCTTTCAATAGTTCACGAGCTGTTACTTCAATTTTATCCCTTTCACAATCGACGATCATGAATTTTTCTAAGAGTACATTGATTTACAGTATACAGTATATTTAAAGAGAATTGAAACTTATTAACAAATAAGAATATGCGTTAAATAATCAATGACTACCTCCAATAATATCAAAACGCTCCTTTGCAATCTTAATGCAATAGTTGGCGGCGGCTTCGGCTTTTTTATTTAGTCATCATTAAAATCCTTTCAACAAATAAATAGATAAACAATATTTATTGGATACGTACGTTCAGCTATGAACTTCAAATTAGCAGAATCTTTATCCTTAATTAATGATGCATTAAATGCACATTCTCTCATGATATTTTTTTCTAGTTCCGACCATTCAGCGGGCACAGTAAG